TAAATTTAAGATTCGCTTATTTCCCTGTTTCTTACTTGTTCACGAATACTATTCCGCATTCTAACACCACTACATCGGAAACATTTTCTGCCACACTCGATATTTGGTCGTGGCAGAAAGAAAGACGAATTTGAACCTCGTAAATTATAACTGTGGATCTGGTTTGTATTCTGGAACATTGATGAGAACCTCGACGGTGTCATATTATTGACAACCATCAACATGAGCTGGGCCATAACATTTTTTCGCCTTTCTTCCAAGCTTTTCCACCCTAATTGATCAAGAGTTAGTTGAGATTGCCCATGCTCATCTTTAAAGCTAGTTCATTATAAGTCTAGCACATCTGTTGTGAAGTTTTTGTAGTCGTTCTGACTAGCATCTACTAATGGATTCCAAACTTCACAACAGTAATCGAAATGGGGTTGGACAAGACCATAATAGACTGACATCAAACTATCGGAATCAGTAAAATCCTTTATCTTTTTCATACCACTTATTCCAGAAGATATTTTTTCGAAATAAAGTCAATATGGCTGTCCGAAGTAAAAAATTGGTCAATTTTGATACCAAGGGCTTTTGTGGCCTGAACCCCTTTAATTGGTTCATCCCCAATAAGAAACACCCGTTGTACTTCCAACGTGTTAATATTGTACCGTGATCCAATCAAAAGATTTCCGTTGTGATTAGGTTAACATAAAGCCTGTTTGATAGAAGACATTCTCTGATATTATTGATATCAGCATTAATGGCCACCTCAGCTTCTTCAATCGATTTACCGGACACAGTGATGTTAGTATTATCGGCGAACATACCAGGGCATTTTTGAACTATATAAGTGGGGGGATCAAAGCCCCCCAGCCCCCCCCCCCCACTCAACCATTTTGGCCCCCCAGTCAAAGTCCCTTTTCTCTAAAATATAAGCGAAACATCGAATTTAGAAGGGAGGTTTGATATTCTAGTAACTGAAACTTGCTTTGTGAATCTTATGTCATTTCTTTTATCTTTAAGGCTAAACATTGTGTTGTAAATACCTTATTAGATTTTAAACATTTTCCACTGGATTGCATTTCTCAGACCATATAGATTTGAGTTGTTGCAAGGCTTGGCTAAATAAGTTAGTGACGCAGGGGGCAACGGGTCCCCAACCCAGTGTTTCATAAGGGGGAGGGGAATAATTTTGGCCCCCCCACCAAAAAAACCCAATTGATTTCGAAACTAGAAGTATTTGAAATCGAATATTCATATATATCGTACATATAATCAAATATCTATAAATGATATTTTGATAAAAACATTTCTTGTAATAATCCATCCTGACTCGTGAATAGCATAGACTCACAAACCATAATGAACGAATTAATGAACGGGCTAAACAAAATAGGTAGAGAAGACTTTGAATATGCCATTTCCGACGATTTAGAGACGCAAAATTTTCAAAATTCTTCCGCTCTGTGCCAACCATGGTGGTGCTTCGTGAGAGTCAGATCCTCTAAAGTTATCAAGCTGGCTCCCTGAGTGACGGTCAAGTTGTGGTACATAAACATATTATGCAAGTACTTAACTGAAGGTTCAGTCTATCTACTGCATAATGTAATGCTGTATATCGAAAAATCTGTTTCAGGAAATGCAGGGAATTGCAGTCATAGGGGTAGAAAAATACAAAAATTTTCTGGGGGAGAATACCCCAGACCCCCCTCCCCCTACTAGTAAATGCAATACCACACCAAACTTTTTATTACCAACAAACCATCTAACATTTCTCCACACTCGGTATAGTATGGTCCCTATTTGTATATGCCCCCCCCCCTGACGAATTCTTAAAAAATGCCCTGGAACATACGTGCTGTAGAGTGTTGTAAGCAGTTCGGTAAATCATTGATATAAATTAAAAACAGAAGTGGACCCAAAATTGACCCCTGGGGAACTCCATATTTTACATATTTTAACATGGAAAGTTGCCCATTATTTACTTGACATTGCTTAGTCTGCGAACCCAGACGTCATTTCCGACGCTAATTCTTCGCTTGGAAAATAACGTTTGCGGAAATGAGCGGGAATTCGGTTTCCACCAATCAGAATGTAGCTCCTAAAAACTGTGAACTAACTCGTGGGATTATCGTGCGAAATGAGTGGGATATTCGTGAGATTTCGACACGACAGAAAAATGCGAATGACAACAATAACAGTCGTAACATATATTTTTAGCTCACGGGGCGTTTTCAACAAAATGTTGTTCTTTTTCTCACTTAGGCCTTGGTAGGCCTACTTGCAATAACAATATATTTTTACAAAAGGTACATCAGGATTTTATGCTTGTGACCATATAAAAGTAAATAAACTTTTCTGTATTTTTCTTTATTCTAGAATGTACATTTATACTCGCACATTTATAATACAAAGACCAAAGTTGCTCGTTGTTAATATTTATATTTGCATTTACATTATTGCTTTGTATTTACTTCTGCTCTTGCGTTTTCGAACGATTCTTCACAAAGTTTTCAAAGGGAATAGATTGGAAACTATTTTAACCAGATGAGAACAAAGGGTTACTGGATTGTAATTTACTTGAAAAGTATTGAATATAAAATGTGCCAAATAGAACTAGCTGGTTTACGGTGAAATAATGTAACCGATTGTCTGAATATTGATCATGCATGCAGTACCGATATCAATTTCAATTTCAATTTCGGACCTGAAGTTATAAACAAAATGCATTTACTTCTGGCGATCATGTTTTTTTTTGGGAAAGTGTTAATTTGAATTTCTCTCAAATGCCGTATCAGTGTATTACAACAAGGTGCTAGCTGTATTAAAACAGCGCGACGTAGCCTAAGAAAGCACACTGAAAATGCTACTATAATTACTAACTATAAAATTGATGTCAATTTCACTCTGTGTACAGCATATAAATACAAACACAAACTACTAGTAAGTTAGAAAACACACTGCATGCTATTCAGAAGTACGTACACATATATATATTATTAACTAAAGTGAATATGAACAATCAAAACGTTTAAACTGTATATATTTAATTTGCGATTAGTTTCGCAAGGATCTTCAACTATCAGATTAAGAATTCCGTGACAGGTTTTACAACAAGTTCAGGACCAGGCTGTTCCCAATGCAAAGAGTGCATGCAATTATTGATTGTTGGCGTATAATCTTGCTGCAGAGCGATATAGACAAAAACAAAGTGTCCTATATATTATTTAGACCGGCCTTACTTTTAATAATGAACTGCAATTGCAACAGAATAGAAGGACTGACACATAAAGGATTACATGAATTTGTCCATGTCTGCACGTTCATTGATACAGTATTTTAATAACGCACTAATGAATGAAATGCGTAGAAAATTATATTCTTCGCAGACTATATAGTTCAAGTCACAATCTTTCGAACGAGCTGTGAAGTTTATAGTCTGGCTGTTGGAGCGAGAACAACACTTTGAAACTCCAGTATGATATATCATAGTAATTTTCCTCACCATATTTTTATTGATAACATCCTATGCGACTTTTTCATGATCGACATAGGCCTACATATAGACAAAATATTCAACATATTCAAATAACTTATAAAACAATGATATTTTCCAAAACACACATCATATTTTCCAACTGAGAGGTGTCTTCTGTAATACACATTGTCATGCTGGGTATACTTTTTCGAAGTTTCGTTCATATTTTCAGAACAAAACTACAAGTATATTAATTTATATTTTTATAATAAAAAACGCGGCTCCGTTCGTGTGGCCCTACACGCGATATACAAGCGCTCGCGCACATCAACGCGTGCTCTCATGCAATGTAACTGATATGTTTTAATTTGCTAACATAGACCGAATAGACATACGTCACGGAAATCCAATCCTAGCGAAGAATAAGCGTCGGAAATGACGCCTGGGTTCGCAGATTAGACATTGCTGTGATCGATCTGATAAGTAAGATTTGAAAAGCATAAGAGGCGTATTCTTGATACCATACTAGAAAATACATGCATGCAGAAACCCTCGCCTTGCTGACAAAACCGTTGTATTTTCCCTATGATTTTCCGAACAGGAAGTATCTAGAGTAGTTGTCATGGTAACACGATAATTTTTTAAGAATATTCTTACAAATGAAAATTGCCTAAAAATATCACTTTTAATTACAAAATTATCAATTTCCCAGCATATATATGTTAGGTAGGTAATTATACGTAATACAAGCTTCAATTTAAGGTAAAATTCAACCACAAACAATTCACAAAACGTTTTAAAGTGTTCTTTATAAAACTAAACTGCCTTTAACTATTAAATGGCTTTATCGATAAACTTTGAGTTTGCAATAAAATGATTTCAAATTCTCGCTTGGAAATAACTTTGGTCTTTGCTTTATTTTTTATTTAAAAAATTCAACATAATAAAAAAGGGAATCAATATTAAAGTTAGACTGAAATTTATATGCTGTCTTGTTTTGTTGTCAGTTTCATATATGCAAACGCCGTCGGGTTTTAAAGCCATTATAAAATCAATATTTAAAACAAACTTAATTACCTTCGTTAACGTCGGCTCCCTTCTTTTAGCCGATTCTTTCGCCCTTTCTTTCTTGAAATTTACAAAATCTTGCAGAAATACGAGCAAAAATGAAATATATTTGCAAGAAATTTATCAATCATCAAATCAAGAAATGTTTGCTATTTCGCTGTCGTCATGCAGTCGTTATAATGCAAACTTTAAATTGGACCAATCAGTGTCCGTTATTCATGACAATCCGCCATATTTTTGAGATCAGTGAGGATGACCACCCATCGTTGGTGACCGACGCCCGCGCTCATTGATGAACTTTAGACTTCGTTGATGCTTTCGTTTCCCCGGGTGTAAATAGCCGGGGGGAATTAGTACCCTCGCAAGGCGCTTCGCGCCGCCGGCTCGGGGACAAGCTTTTGGACAATAATGATGGCCAACAGTGGACACTACATGATGAATATGATAAACTGCGTAATGACCAAAATTAATGGTAAACACTTGTTTAACAAATGAAAACAAACCAAAGACCGCCATTACTTGCAACAAACCTTATCGTACAACGTTAAAAGACGTATTTGTTCTTGCTAATTATTTTCTTCAAGAGATTTTCACATGTGAAGGCTTAAGTAATGATTTTTATTGACATTTAATGTCAGTTTAAAATATTGGCACCAAAAATAACATGACACAGTATAAAAATAAAATTCCGAAGTACACTTTACACATAAGGCAATTTAAATAAATGAACTTTATTGGTATAATCAATCCCCAGGGCTTTGGGTTTAGCTAACCTTTAATTTTGTGTGAGGTGTTTGATATTCAAATTTCACTTTTCCTGCCTCCCGAACAGGTGTCCTAGGGGCTGTTTGCATGATGGAAGATGAGTTTCATGTATTGAAATAAGTCACCAGGCTATTTAGTAAGCAAAAGTTCAAATGCTGGTTAATTTAACAAAACTCAAAATTTGTAGAGAAGATCTTGTAGTTCAAGAAGATGATTATTGCTGCTTGAACAACCTGTCGTTTACAGTATAATCCATCTCTAGAAAATAATGAGGTGTATTGCTGGATCATGCACCGTGACATATTTCAATATATAAAAATCATCCTGCCTCATATCTCGTCCTGACAAGGCGGTGTCATATAAACAGCCCCTTATTCAGCAAACTGCGTATGCTGCTTTTCATTCCTTGGGGGTGAGGAAGCATTTTCCTTGCGATAGTAACTTCTAGTATTAATTTGTGTTATTGTTCACTCGGCAATATAAGGATGAAATGTTCTCGAGTGAGATATATCGTAATTTCCAGACAGCGCGCAGGCAGAAAACTTTTCCTGCCGGGGCTAGGCTTTGAATACGCGACCTTCGAGTTGCTAGATTTATGCTTTACGGCAACTTAGCTACATGGTCAGGACTGATTAAAGACGGGAAATTACGAACTATATGAAGAATGTCATAAACATACTCGTTTATATTAATCCGGCATCGAACATATTAGTTTTGCAAGTGTGTAGGCTAATATTAATTTGTGTTATAGTTAACTCGGTAATATGATAAGGATGAAATGTTCTCGAGTGAGATATAACGTAATTTCCAGACAACGCGCAGGCAGAAAACTTTGCCTGCCGCGGCTGGGCTTCGAACCCGCGACTTTCGAGTTACTAGAACGATCCCCTACCTGTTGACATTTATAGTCTATGCATAATAAGGCAGTATAATGTAGTTTACACTCTACATGAAGTATTCGAATATCTAATCTGTTCGGTTATGTATCACCTCGCGGTGTGAACACTTTATAAAAATGTTGTATTTTATGTTATCAATACCCGTTTGTACATAAAGTTATTCTGATTAAAGTTATACAAAACCACACTACCAACTGACGGGCAGACCTACACGGTCAGGACGGATTGAAGACTGGAAATTACGATCTATATACTGAATGTCATAAACATACTCGTTTATATTAATCCAGAATCAAACATACAGTACTAGCTGTGCAAGTGTTATATTAATTTGTGTTATTGTTCACTTGGTAATATGATGAGGATGAAATGTTCTCAGAGTTTTCCAGACAGCGCGCAGGGAGAAAACTTTGCCTGCCACGGCTGGGCTTTGAACCAGCGACCTTCGAGTTACTAGAACGATGCTCTACCTGTTGACATTTATAGTTTATGCATAATAAGACAGTATAATGTAGTTTACATGAAGTATTCGAATATCTAGTCTGTTCGGTTATGTATGGACTACAGTCTTTTATGTTATCAATACGCGTTTGTTCATAAAGTTATTCTGATTAAAGTTATACAAAACAACACTACCAACTGAGCTACACGGCCAGGACGGATTGAAGACTGGAAATTACGAACTATGTACTGAATGTCATAAACATACTCGTTTATATTAATCCAGCATCAAACATACTAGTTCTGCAAGTGTTATATTAATTTGTATTATTGTTCACTTGGTAATATGATAAGGATGAAATGTTCTCGAGTTTTCTAGACAGCGCGCAGGGAGAAAACTTTGCCTGCCACGGCTGGGCTTCAAACCAGCGACCGAGTTACTAGATCGATGCTCTTTACCTTTTACAGCTGTAATTTCCAGTCTTCCATCCGTCCTGACCGTGTAGCTCAGTTGCCGTGTAGAGCATAAATCTAGCAACTCGAAGGTCGCTTATTCAAAGCCCAGCCGTGGTAGGCAAAGTTTTGTGCCTGCGCGCGGTCTGGAAATTACGTTATATCTCACTCATATTTAACATTTAATATTTAACATATAACACTTAATATTTTCATATTTAACAAATATAAAACATTTTCCGTGTTGATCAGTACAGTTATATCAACACGAGTGGAAATTGAGAAAATGAGAAATTGGGAAAACGAGAAATTTTAATATCAATACGGAACTGAAAATGTTTTATATTTGTTTTATAATATAGCAAAAAGAAACATCAAGAAAGAAATTTTCCGACGATTCCGTGTTGACATTGAGTTATATCAACACGGCTCATAGTCAATCAGCGCTCAGAATTTACAAATGCTATATTATAAATATATATATTTATATATATATATATATATATATATATATATATATATATATATATATATATATATATATATATATATATATATATATATATATATATATATATATATATACATAGACGGTACCGCTTCGGCCTTTTGGGCCTCATCAGTGTACTGCTGATGAGCAGGATGAAAGTAACCACTATTAATAGTTACCTTTGATGTCTCACGAATATGGGGCATCAAACCATTGCCAGAGTGCTCAAATGCAAGCAGTGTATATATATATATATATATATATATATATATATATATATATATATATATATATATATATATATATATATATATATATATATATATATATATATATATATATATATATATATATATATATATACTATTGTTGCTGTTGTGGCTGTTGCGGCTGTTGCTGTTGCTGCTGTTGTTGATGTTGCGGCTGTTACTGCTGTTGCAGAAGCTGTGTTGCTGCTGCTGTTGTTTCATCTGCTGTTATTACTGCCGTTGATGCTGTTGCTGTCGTTGTCGTGGTCGTTGTCGCTGTGGTCGCCGTCGTTGTCGCCGCCGCTGCTGTAGCTGCTGTTGCTGCTGTTGTTGTTGCTGTTGCTGCTGTTGATGCTGCTGTTGCTGCTGTTGTTGATGTTGTTGTTGCTGTTGCTGCTGTTGCTGCTGTTGCTGTTGATGCTGTTGCTGCTGTTGTTGCTGTTGTTGTTGCTGCTGTTGCTGTTGTTGCTGCTGTTGTTGATGTTGTTGATGTTGTTGCTGTTATTGCTGTTGCAGTGCTGTGTTGCTGCTGCTGTTGTTGCCTCTGCTGTTATTACTGCCGTTGCTGCTGTTGCTGTGACGGTCGTTGTATTGTTGGTAGGAGGCAACATACATACTTGCACCAGGGGCGTGGCGAACGATTCCAAATTGGGGGGGGGGGCGTCATACTATAATGACCAACTGTTTCAATGAAAATGACCAACTTTTTCGTCTTTGAGTTGTACAGTTTTACTTCCTTATTGGGGGTTAAACGACAGGCCATAATCGGTAGGATATTGACGAACAACTGCATTGTACATCTAACGATGAAAGTTTAACTCTGTAAGTATCAAGAAATATACTCAGTATATTCATTTGATCTGTAATTCTTTAATACTTTTTATATATCGTGTACAAAGTGATCGTGGCTGCTGGTTAGATATGCAGTCCACAGTATGCGCAAATGCTAGAGTTGTAACAATTGTGTTGATTGTAAAATTATCTTATGGTATACAGTTTTTTTACATTATTATATGGACAAAGGTATTTTATTGACAACTATATAAAACACTCGTCGAGAATCCATATGTCACTACATCCGATACACGAGTGGCGTATTTTACGCATACAATACAATACAATACAATAAAGATTTATTCACAATGAAACTGAAGCATGCAATTACAGTGACAGAGGAAAAGGAAAGCTTGAGGTTATCCCTATATTAAACTTCCTTAAATAAAATAATTGTTAAAAATTACTAATTAAAATTACAATTACAAATATATGAATAAATTAGATCTTTAAATAGTCCTTCAGGGCTTTTTTGAACGCTGAAAAGTTATTAGCCTCTAAAACGTATTTTGGCAAAGCGTTCCACAAGCCGATAGTCCTTACAAAAAAGGAGTATTTGTAACAGTTCACTCTACTTGCCTTAACACATAGTTTATACGCGTGATTTGCTCTAGTTGACTTTACTCTAGACCATTCGAAAAAGTCCAAGAAATTTAGCTTGCATAGCCCAAAGACAATTTTGTAACATTCAAGTAATGATAAATAATCCCTCCGTAAGGAAAGTGTTGTCCACCCCAGGATCTGGCATCTTTCTTCGTACGACATCTCACCTCTCTCTTGACGCAAAGCAAGCCTGGATGCTCGTCTTTGTACTTTTTCAATTGCATGAATGTCCTTAACAAGATATGGGTTCCAAACAGGTGCAGCATATTCAAGGATGGGTCTAACAAGAGCAATATATAACATCGAGAAAACCTTCGTGTTTGCTGTACCAACTGATCGTTTAATAGTTCCTAGAATTTTGTTTGCTTTATTAACTGTGATACGTATGTCACGGTATATCGATAAATTCCCGCCTTTTTGTTGTTTTTTTCAAAATGGGCTGCCTTTTTTTTTTTTTTCAAAATGGGCGACGAGTTTGTGGACTTGAGCGAAGACGACATTTATTATCTTCGGTGTTGTTACTTTCATCGCAACGTTCCTGAAGGTATTCTTGGGCAGTCTCAGTTACCTTTTCAACTGCATCAGAAATATTTTTAGACGTAAATATTATCTCATTTAATATGGCATCGATGTCGATTGGCATTCTTCTGTCATGCTTTCGTCTGACATTATCGTATTCGCATCAGTATTTATCATATCGTTTGTAACTTGCATATCTGTGGGCTATGATAAAATTTAAAACAATTGCAGAAATTAAACTAATTTAAGATACCAATTTCTCAAATAACGAAAGAAGCAAGATTCCTAGAATTCAAAAGCAACCAATTGCGAACCATATAAAACAACAACAACAACAACAACAACAACAACAACAACAACAACAAAAACATACTTCTTCAGGAAATCTATTACGTGTTCTATCGCCAGTTTCTATGTCTTCTTCACTTGAAAACTCATCACTCTGAACATAACCCAAAAATAATATTCAGAAAACAAAAAACTATCTTGAGAACATCATACACACTTACAACTAAAGAAAGACAATTTTTTCCTATTTCGCTGTTCACACTATACCTCCGCTATTGACTCTTTAATGCTTGATTCGGTTGATTTAATGATATCTATACCCGCATCTACTGGATCTATTTCGTTACCGTTACCTTCAACATCTTTCACAATATCCATTTGATTTGGATAAACCGATTCGTTTGTGTCCAATACTCCAGTTCCCTGTAGATAATTTTATTATTAAAATGTGCAGCAAACAGTAAAATTTATCATTTTAAACACCCATACAATATGCCCTGATAAGATCTCGTGCAATCTATTTTTGGTGGTGATTGGCAGCTAACACATTATTTGACAGCTAAACGTTAAAATTACCTTACACGTCGTCGCTGTCTTTGGCTCAAAAAATCTTCGTACATCAGAAAACGTAGACGCATCAGAATTTTTATCCGACTGATTTTCCCCAATAACTTTTATCGGTACACTTTTTCCGCCATGTCTCTTATGAATATGACTATTCCGGAAAAAATCCTAGTTCATCGACTTGTCACAAGGTATACACAGTACTTTACGTCTGCTTCTCTGTTCCTGTTTTTGTTTTTCATTTCGAATCACTGCATCAGACTGACATAAACAACAACATACTCTTCAATTTTTATATATTTAATATTCATGATGTATACGAAATACGAATTTCAAAATAAATATGTTTGCATTTATGTTTTGTATATGTTTGTATTGTGTTTTTATTTTTACTTTATATTTCCGATAGCATCTCAATAAATATTGAAAATTATGGAACTTACCCGTATGCATATTACAAAATCAATGCACTGAATCAATAGTTCATGTAACGAATCATATAGAATTATCTCAAAATTTGAGCCTTCAGCTCCAATGGTCAGTGGTCTGTAAATAATGTCATGTAATGTAAACAAACGCTTTGTTTACATTTTGAACTCAGTTCTACAGTTTTAAAATATGATTAGATATATATTATATTGAATTTTTAACACTCTTCTGGTTCGCTATGCGATTCCCACCGTGGTCAAGCATATTTTCAAGATTGCCCGGTGTGGATATACACTCAGAGTAACATCACAAACATCATATTCACCTGAGAACATAACACCAACACCGAAAATATCAAGAGGTAAATAGTTACAAAGGTTATCATGTTAGAGCTACTGTAAACAATGTGGAGACAAACTTTCTCGTAGATACTGGTGCAGAAGTAAGTTTGATTCTTGCATATATACCAGGTTTAATTATTAAAGAACCCCAAGTGCATCCAGTTTCAATATTTTAAGGGTGAGACTGAGGTATCGTTAAATTTAGGCAATTTAAATACCATTTGGAAGTTTTTTGTTGTTGAAAACATGACAGAATCTGTTCTCGGGGCAGACTTTATAGCTGAACACCACAAGGGCTCATGGGGGTTCAAGAACAATAAACTTTGGTTTGACGATATAGCTATTCCCTTAATTGATAACCAACAAGTTCGAATCGTAAAGGGAGATAATTCTTGCCCAGTAATTGCAAAATGCACCGCACAACTTCCGGCCAGACACCAACTAGTAATTTCAATGCGAACTAAGGATAGGACCAGCTGCGATTGAATGTTCGAGTCCTGTAAGACACCTGGTCGTGTGTTGCTAACAAAAACAGTTGTACAACCAAGCAAAGACGGTAGTTTGTTGGTTAAGGCAGTAAATCTGAACTTTCAAAATGTTACATTATTCAAAAATAAAAAAAAAATGGAAAACTATCAGATATTGAAGAGGTGATTTACCAGATTCAGCATGATGAGCATCCAATTGACTCTCCCGTCCAGATTGAGAATATTGATTTTTTGCATGATATTGGTGTAGCATTAAACCAGAGTGGTCTAAAGATCAAGGGATGAAAGGGAACAACTTGAAAAGCTCCTTTTTCCTACTCATATGTTTTCTCCAAAAACAAACAAGACCTAGGGACATGTAAGTTAGGGACAAACCATCACATACACTTCAAACCAGATCCTGTGCCAGTCAAAAAACCATTGCGCGGAATTCCATTTGCTTATCAAGAAGAGGTCAAAAATGATTTGAAGAACATGCTAAAGGATGGAATAATAGAGAAATCGGTTTCTGAATGGGCGGGCCCCCTAGTCCTAGTTAGGAAGTCATCAGGTGACCTGCGGATATGTTTTGACTATCGGAATTTAAATGAGGCCAAAATGTTATCGAGTAACCCATTGCCTAACTTAATTGAAACACTTGATCGTTTGGCCAGGATACCATCAGGTTGAAGTGGGCGAGGATGATAAAGAGAAAACTGCATTTTTATCCCCATATGGACTATTTCAGTACTGTAGGATGATCCTCTATGGGCTGGCAGGGGCACCAGCAACCTTTCAATCTGTTGTCGAGGACATGGAGTATTGGAGACTTAGGACATCATGAACTACCTTGATGATGTTATTTGTTTTCGCGCCATCTTTGACAAGCATTTGGAAGGAATTCAGAAATTGCTTGAGATGGTAAGGAGAGCCGGTTTTAAGCTATCTGGAAAGAAATGCCAATTTGCTAAACTTTCTGAAAGATTCCTGGGTCACATTATCGACAATAGTTGTATTAGAGCGCTACCTGAGAAAGGAGATATTATCAGGAATTGGAAGGCTCCTGAGAATGAGGAAGAATTGCGGCGATTTCTTGGAGTGTGCACGTTTTGAAGGAGATTTGTGGAAGATTTTGCCAAAATAGTCGTTCCACATCACAATCTTTTAAATAACGAGGAATTCGTATATGGACGAATGAATGTCAGGATGCTTTAACCTGTTGAAAGAATTGTTGTGCTCTTCGGTGACGTTGAAGCTTCCACAGCGTGTAGGTCGGTTCTCTGTGACATGTGATGCATCAGATTTCGCGGTGGGTCACTACCTTGAACAGGCTGATCAATCTGGCCAAAAGCGCCCAATTGCTTTTGGGGGAAGGAAACCACATATACCAGAAATGAATTACTCCACCACGGAAAAAGAATGTTTGGCAGTTATTGAAGCACTGAAGGCATATCATTCGTACAGTACCTGTTGGGGAACCAGTTTGATTTATACACGGACCATCGATCTCTAAAATGATTGCTAACTCGAACGGAAGAGCATAGTGGTTGCCTGTGGCGATGGGTGGATAAAATCCGTGAGTTTCAGTATTTGGTTAGGAATATCCCAGGACGGAATAATACAGTGGCGGATGCCTTAAGGTGGCTCCTTACAGTTTTGATTGTCCAGCGCACAATTGTATTAAAAAACCCATTATTTCATCGTCTTGCAAAGTATGATCACGAAACTAGGCCATATAAACTGCTACAATATCGCGAATTACGACAAATAAAAAAATGTCGTTAAAAATTCCCGTTACCATGGTAACAAAGCGATTTTAAAAAGGGTTAATTTGCATATTCTTTGATAATTTTTGAAACTTCCTTCGGTAAAAATTCTTAATTTTTTGCAGACAGTAATTTTATCTATAATTCCTTCAAATGATAGGATTTAAAAAAAATGGTACGAGAATTTTTTAAATATCAAAAAGGCCTGTTTTTGGAATAAAAAAAATTCGGCTTGTACGATCTTCTTTGAGAAAACACGAGAAAAATACATTTATTTTTATCTATGTAACGTCACAAAAATCAGGATTTCAATATTCTCGCGCGACCAGCCGACAATCCCACGAAGGTCCGCGCGTGTATATCACGATGTTTTGGCGCAATAAATTTATTCGTTGGAACCAAAATTTTAAAAAAACCGCCACGCGTGAAACGTCGACCACGCATGTTGCGCGTAGCACTACTAATTTTCCGCGTGGACAACATTTCCGCCATACAGACCTAAAACTGTAGGGAGCCACCTTAAGCAGAATTCGGAATATAGCAACTCGAGAACCAATCCCGAAATTTGCCAATCTCTCTTCTAATCCCGAAAGAATAATTAAGTCAAAGTTATTTCGGCTCATTTGAGCGATCATACTATGGTTGGAATCACTAGGAAAATTAATGCATCGAAATTTAAAGCTGGAATAATTACAACTCGGTGTTTTGCTCGATATGACCGTTCTGCTTACCGTAATGACGTTAAAAATTCCTCATGGGATAACGTTTATGAGCAGTCTGATGTGAACGATGCATGGTATGAAATGTATAACATTCTCCTGAAAGCTATTAACCGCCATGCACCCCTAATTCAAAAGAAAGTGCGTGGGAGGGATTGCCCATGGTTAACAAATAACTTACGGAAAGCAATGCTTGAGAGGAATAGTTTACTCAAAGTAGCTAGAAGATCGAAGTCTGCTTCTGATTGGGCTGCATATAAAAGAAAGCGTAATCAAGTAAATAATTTGCTACGAAGAGAAAAGAATTCATTTAACCGAAAACTGTTATACGACAACAGGAATAACCCTAGAAAATTCTGGAAAACCATTAAACAAGTGTATCCTAATAAGCCTACTACTGTTAATTCATCTCGCGCTTTCAACCTTAATGATGATGGTATGACAACCTGTAAAAGTAAAATATCAAATGCCTTTGGCTTGTTCTTTTCCTCCATTGCTCAAAAACTGAAAGAATCATTAAATACTTTGGGAAACTCCATCCGGCAGAAAACGGATCAAGAAATACCGCCTTGTAATAGAATTCCTGACCAAGTTTTTCGGTTTGAGGAAATTTGTCCATCTCAGGTATTGAAAGCTCTGAATAAGCTAAAAAGTACCAAAGCAACTGGTCTTGATGACGTCCCTCCTAGTATGATTAAGGATGCATCTCAGTATATTGCTGCACCCCTAGCTTATATCATTAATCTATCATTGTCTTCTGGGATATATCCTGCTCAATGGAAAAACGCTAAAATTATACCAGTCTATAAATCTGGCAGCGTCTCAGAGTTGGACAACTACCGTCCAATCTCAATTCTACCCGCTATCTCTAAAATTGCGGAGCGCCTGGTTCACGATCAGCTGGCAAAATTTTTGGAAGACTCAAGTCTGTTATCACCTACCCAGTTTGATTTTAGATCTAAGTACTCAACTGGTCTTGCAGTTACCTACTTTACAGATTCAATCAGGAAAGAAATGGACCGTGGAAAGCTAAGGGGGGCAGTTTTTATAGACTTCCGTAAGGCATTCGACACGGTCGACCATGCTGTTTTAATTAAAAAGATGGAGATGCTTGGTGTTCGTGGTGTCCAGCTTAAATGGTTTTCAGACTATTTATCAAATAGACAACAAGTTGTAATCTATGATAATTATAGATCGAATAATTATCCGGTTTCTTACGGCGTTCCTCAAGGATCCATCCTGGGGCCTCTTCTGTTTTTGATATACATTGATGATCTTTCCAAGGTTTTAAAACACTCTAACGTTATCATGTATGCAGATGACACCGTTCTCTATTTCTCTCATGAAGATATTAAAAATATTGAAGCTGTTTTGTCTGATGACATGGATGCAGTTGCACAATGGTTGCAGAGGAATCAGTTGGTGATTAATCTTAAAAAGGATAAGTCGGAGTCTATGGTTTTTGGTACAGCAAAACGTCTTGCAAAGGATGGAAATTCATCTATGTGTATCCAAATTGGAAGTGATGTAATTAGAAGTACCACTTCATATGTATATCTCGGTGTGAAGTTAGACCCAACGCTTAACTTTGGCCAGTATCTGCACAAAACCTTCAAGAAAACATCAAGTAAACTGAAAATGCTCAAGAAGATATGTTCTTCTTTGACAGTCCAGTCTGCTCGTATGATTTATCAGTCCATGATTGTTCCATTAATGACATATTGTGTTATGGTAACTTTAAATCTACCTGGATCATGGTTATCAAAGTTTGTCAATTTGGAAAATCGGGCAAAGAAAATTATTGCAAATGGATTAAGCATTGAAAACGATGATTTAAATATACGTGACTTTTACTCGACACGCATTTTTAACGCGGTTATGGTGGTTTTTAAATCTTTAAATGGTCTATCATGTGAACCATTTAATGACTATTTTTTTCAAATTATAAGTCATCAACAAAATACCCGGAATAACGATTATTGTCTGCGACTACCGAAAGTCAAATTGGAAGTTGCCAGGAAAGGGTTTTATTTCCAAGGAGCTATGGCTTTTAATAAACTGCCTTTACATGTCCGCCAGATAAACTCCATTGTACATTTTAAAAGTGCTCTTAAGCAAATGAACAGTTTTTAGACATTAAGTATCATTATATGTTATGTACAGTATAGCGTATTAGCATTTTTATCTATAGATTTTTAAACTTAGTATTACAGGACCCTTAGTGATAGCAGTATTTAGTTATACTGAATAAGGTTTTATCCTGTATAAATAAAGTTTTAATAATAATAATAATAA